GAGAAAAGGAGGCTGAGGGGAGACCCTCTCATTCTACAACTACTGAAAGGAGGGTGTGGAGAGGTGGGTCTCAGTGTTTTCTCCCAAGTGACAACAGGAAACAGCCTCAAGTTGTGCCAGGGAACGTTTAGATTGGATATTGGAAAAAACTCTTCACCAAAAAGGTTGTCGAGCAGTGGAACAGGCTGCCCAGGGCAGTGGTGGAGTCCCCATCCCTGGAGGGATTTAAAAGCCATGTAGATGTGGTGCTTAGGAACATGGTTTAGAGGTGGACTTGGAAGTGTTGGGTTCGTGGTTGGACTCGATGATCTTAAAGGTCTTTTCAAACCAAAATGATTCTATGATTCTAGGTCACACTTTCCACATTCACACATCATCCCTTCCAGGTGGTGTGGCCTCCGTGTTCAGCCATGTGCTCCATCCATTCCCTTTGTCAGTGGGCCAGGGAGCAGGGTCTGTGCTGTGATTCATGGTCAGGGGTCTTCAGCGCAGTGATTCAGGCACAGCTCACAGGTTGATCTGATGATCTGGAAAAAATTCCTTTGAAATAAGCAGGAATATTTGAATGAGTTTGTAAGTACTTCCTCTGAAAGCTGCCATCCTCAGTTGCTTTCTTTCTCAAATCCTTTCTGGATTTGGGGTAAAAAGTGGTGAAGAATTGAAAGGAAGACCCAGACCTGGTGTATTCCTACCCCTCCTTCAGGACACAGCTGCCCTAGGTGACTGCACCTCTGGATTCTCCTTGTGTGGGGGTGTCCTGCTGAAAACAAATGAGACTTCTCAGATTTATAAAGTCAAACTGTGCAAGTCTTTAGGAACTGCTGCTTACAGCACCTACATATCTTCTCTGGAAGTCTAATCATCTTATCTCAGTTTCACAATGACTGAGCAATTAACTCCACAGTCCTTGATGAGGATTGTATTCACCAACTGGGAAATGTTGAAAAACAGGGTGTCTTGGTGCTTTTCAAACCTTGACAGAATCATTCTGAGGTTAAGGCTTGGCTTTGTAGCCTACAGAAATAACTGTGGCAATATCTTCTCATACCAGTGATGGTTGGAGTTGTAGTAGAACTGAATAAAGCACAGCTACTGTGTAGGCAAAGAAACTCCAGCACGTTCCAGGAAATGGTTTAGAAACCCAAACTTGCCTCCTGGAAAACTAATCCAGAAGAAAACTAATTCAGCTAATTTTTCGCTCTGTGAACTGAGTGGGGGAAGGTGGAGAGGGGAGTGCAATAAATCATTAAAGATTTAAATTCTTTAAGTTTTATAAATTAAGATTAAATTTTGTGATTCTTTCCTTAAAGAAATAATCACAGATTTGTTTCCCAACTCAAAATCTTTTCACTTTTCCACCCTATAATGGTCTTAGCCACATGAGTGAGGAAATATATTCATTTCCAGCACGTTCAAGTCGCTGCCTTCTTCCTGTTTTGCTTCTCATCTAATATTTTCATGTCATCTTTTAGGTGTGTTTGTAGTAGAAATGCCTCCTGTGCCATTTGAAGCTACTGGAGAAGCTAATGAGAGTGGGTGTGTGACTGGAAGGGTGGGCAAGCTCTTATCAGCTCTCAGGCTCCATTCTGCCCACTCAACATGAGTGTCTCCTGTTGTTTTCACGTGTTGCTACACTCCTGTACAAGATAATTACCTTGTAAGCCTCGTTTTTCTGGCCAGTTGAGCCTCCAGCAGTCCATCTCCATTTTCCATCCAGGAATATTTCCCCTCAAGCTGGCATTTGTAATTTTCATGATGAAAGCTCCTTGGGCCAGTGATTATCCCGCTCTAGAAGTGCTGGTATAGCACGAGGCGTGATGAGGCACAGATCCTGACTGGAGCTTCTGTGACCTGTTTATTTATTTAATATGCTGTTCATTAAAAATACATCTCTGTGGTCTTTTTCCTTTGATCCTTCAGTAACTTCTGTGACTGTTTCCGTGCAGGAATCACAGCAACATGAGATTCTTTTTTTTCATTCTTCCTTGATGATAAAGATACTGAAGAATCAAGAACTCAGGGGGTGATCCTATTGGATCCATTTGAATTCCACACCCTAGTGTTAGGTGGTACCATTTAATTGCTCCTTGCTCAAACCTCAACAGCCAGCTCTGCAGCTCTCCAACAATTTTCTTCTCCAAACTGCACCGCTGCAGTGTCGGTGTTGGGCTCTCAAATGGGACCAGACAGATGGTTTCCTGAAGATCTGGAGACATTTACACCCTCACCTGATAATGCATCTGTATTAAAGAAAGCTATTGCCTTTTTTAAAGCATAATATAATCTCTAGCAACCACGGTGCCTAATTGCTCATTAAGTTGTTCCCTTCTAGAACCTTCTGGTTTTAAGTCATTCACTTTTATTTGTATTATTACCAGGAAGAGTTTTCTGCAATGAACATAGACAATGTGATGATTTTACGGTTCTCCTGGCGCGTGACCTCTCTGAATTAGGAGGAAGACACAGGGTGAAACCACTGTCTTGCAAATCAACAGAGTGACATCTGATGCCTCTGGCAGGTTTCTTTCCAGAGCTTGCTTTTAAAATTAACAGTTTCTCTCTTTTCCTGCAGCACTGCTGTTGAGTTCAGAGCTTTCCCTTGCATTTCTAGTTGTGTATACACAGATGGATAGAGAGATGCAGCAGGCCGAGGTGGACTCCTGGGGTCAATGATCCAACACAAAGACACGTAGCCAGGGACTGAAGGGTTCAGGCTTTACAGCTCTACAACACTGAGCAAATCATGTGTAACTTCCTTTTCCTCCCTGGTGTGTGTGCACTGAGAGTCTTCAGGCACTTGAGTAAGAGTGAAGGTGTTTGGGTTCTTCCTCAGTCCTACTGCAAGTGTTTTAATACCTGTGAGCAAGTCATTTAATCTCCTGTGTGCCTCAGTTTCCCATTTCCCAATTAAAACTGTAACAGTTCCCTGCTTCACAGGGTTGGGGAAGATCATTTTTATCAAGTGCTCCCTAAATGAGATGAGCACCATAAAGATTTAGAAATGAAGGGGATACAATTAAAGTATTATGTGGACCCAGAAGCGTTGTCATTGTGGAAGAGTAAAAGTACTTTTACATCTTTCTTTTTTTTTATTACAGATGGGTTGGGGTGATCTGGGAGTTTTTGGAGAGCCTTCTAAGGAAACTCCTAACCTGGATCAGATGGCTTCAGAAGGGATGCTTTTCCTGGATTTCTATACTGCCAACCCCCTCTGTTCTCCATGTAAGTAAACTTGAGTTTTAAACTGGCATGGAAGCGTGCCACCTTCTGAGAAGATTGGGATGTGAGCCAGCATCTGACATGAACTAGCAACCAAAGCAGTGATTACCCTCAGGGCAGAGTTTGGATTTGGTGCTTTCATCTTGCATTTTACTTCCCTTTTTATTTACGTTTTGATTGGAAAAGGTACAATCTTCACTTCATACAAAGCAGTGTTTTAGTGATCAAATCAGTCCAACTAAAGGATTTTTTACAACATTCTGGTTTAGTATTCTACCCTCAGTCATTGCATATTTTTTTTTAATCTTTCTTATTTTGGAATAAACAGACAAAGTGGTATCTAAATCGTTGCTGGACATAGTTTGTCTGATTCCATGGGCTTTGGTGAGACTTCATGTGAGGAATGGTAGCAGGCTGTGTCCTGCTCTCAACCCTGCTGGCTTGCAAGCTTCTTGGGGAAGGGACAAGAGATAAAAGAAACGTTTGGGTCTGGCAGATGCAGATATTTTTATCCTTATTGAGTTTTCTGTAGGGTGGGTTTGTTGTTTGTTTGGTTTTGTTTCCTTTTTTCCTCAAACCTGATTGGCAGCCAAGAATTGAAACTAAAATGAGGAGCGGGGGCTTTTTATTTGGATATAATTAGTCAGCATGCTGCTGATGTCCTTGCTCAGAAAAGGCATTTAAAATATGCTGAAGTCCTGCTCAGTCCAGTGGTGGTACTGCAGATGCTTAAACATCTGTTTAAATGTTCCCTGCAGTCAGGATCTGACTTTTATTGTCAAAGCTGGACAGCTCTTTCTCCACTATTACGTGACTTTTGTCGAGGCAAGCTTGAAAACAGCCTGAAGCGTGTCATCAGTTCCTGTATTTCCTCCTGCATATATAGGTCAGGTATTCCTTTTAGAGTTACTGAGATAAGAGGGCTGCTACTTTGACTGTTGAAAGTAATTACTCTTCAGCAGTGGGGTAATTTAATAGAGGGGCCAAATTTCAGTCAGGTTTGTTCTGGAGTAACTCAAATGATGAGGTATCAGAACCTGGCTGTCTCCATGGCTCACTGGAGAAGGGAGTGAGCCATGGGGATAGCCAGGCTGTTCAAATGTGAGTGATCTCAGTAACTGGCTGTGGCAAAAGGACACTGACATGCAGTCAGTGCACTGTCCTCAAGCCTTAATATGATAATATCAATCTAAAGCAGAGAATGAGTGTAAAATAAAACACAGTTTTATCATTTTGCAGCAAGAGCAGCGTTGTTGACGGGCCGTCTCCCAGTGAGGAATGGTTTTTACACCACGAATGCACATGCCAGAAACGGTATGGGCTTCATTCCTGATTTACCTTCCTCTCTTGATTTCCCTCTGTGCTTTGTAGGAAGTTTTGCTTTGAACAAAGGCTTGGCTCAGTGATCTTCCCCTATGGATCTTCCAGAGTGGCACAAAAAGATTACCATGTTAACTGCTGGTAATAAGTGTGCAATTTATTGCTTCCTCCTCATCAAGCAGAAAACCTCCTCAAATTAAGAGACATAAACAAGGCTGGTTGATCTTTTTGCTTCTCCTGGCTGAGAAGTGTTTCCTCTGGGCAGTCTAATTGGTGTCTGGTAAAAGAAAGTCACGTAGAGTGAATGTTAAGAGCCAGAGTAAAGAACAAGCTGCTCACAGTTTTATTCAGCAGCCAGTTTTCTAACCACTTCAGCCTTGGCAGTTTTATAGCACTGTTGAGTCCGTGGTGCTTCCAGGGAAGACTTTCTGGGAGGACATAGAATTTCTTTCAGCTCTTACAATCTGAGCAAGTTCATTGATAATTTGTTTTAGGAACAAAATGCTTTCATTTTAGAAAACATAAAGCAAATTTGCAAGAGTAAAGACAACTCTAGTGGACTCCTAAAGCACTTGATTTCTTTATGACCCCTCTTTTCAAGGATCTCACTTTCATTCGATGATGGCAGCCCCCTTTGTTGGCTGTGGTGTGCAAGTGGGTAGATATCTCCCTTTGATCTTCCTGAATCAACTTGTTCTCTTCATCTCGTGGCCTGGGAGGATTTCCAAAGAGTGATATCACTGGGACTTCACACTGATTGCTATTTCTGATCCAGTTCTAAGGATGGGTAGCCATGAGCTGTTTGCTCTAATTTTTGGAAGAGCCAGAAAGATTTTGTTTGTTTGTTTTACGCAGCCTACACGCCACAGGATATAGTAGGAGGAATCCCAGATTCTGAATTACTGCTTCCAGAGTTGCTGAAGAAAGCTGGCTACATCAATAAGATCGTTGGCAAATGGTAAATTTATTTTAAGATCTCTAGCTTTGAGATTTCAGTATGTGTGTGTATGTATTTTGAAAGAGGAGCAGAACAACCAGAACTGCAGGAAAAAACTGTTTTGAAGCTCAGATGTCCGACTTTTGAACTCTGTGGTGGATCTTTCCCCCTGCTGTGAGCAATTTCTGCATTCAGTGTTATCATTACAAGTACTTACATATATCTTCATACAAAGAGTTGAAGGAGTTTGTGTGTGTGTATATATATATATTTATAAACTCTTCAACTCTTTGTACTTCCATCCATGTATCACACTACTTAATCAAAAACCACCAAGATGTTCTGTTGGATCTTGCCTTTAGCATCTACATCCTTTTTATTTTTGCCCCCTGCTATATCTTGGGGTTTTTTGTTAACAGAGTAGACTAAATTCTACTAAATTCTTCTATCTCCCACTTCTTTTTGGGGAGGTGGAAGTGTGTGGTATAGAACTAGAGATGCAGACATCTACAGGGCTGCACTGAAGATTGTCCATTGAGTGTAGAAGATCAGGGTGGACAGGGGTAGTTGATAACCAGGTGTTTTAAGAGACCTAGAAGGCTGATCCAATACTCTGTGAGTAGTCCTTTGACTTTATAGACTTTCATGGACATCCAGCATAATCTTTGTAGAGGATACAGAAGAACTTCTGAAAAAAAACCCCAGTGTTTTGTGGTGTCTGCAAAAAACTGGAAGGGAAAAGCCTGAAAGGTATTCGGCTTGAACAAGCACAATGGAATTACCAGTTGAAACTGGTGCGTTTGTAACATTCGAATTTCAAATGTGCTTGTGGGCTGTAATGGAATCCCATGAGGCCTGGGGATCTCTGAACAGTTGATTCACAGTTTGGAACAGTGCTGTAATAAATAAATTCATAAATAGCAACTTCAAAACTACCTGGACACCAGAGGAGTCCTGCTTGATTAGCAGAGTAATTGTTAATGGAGAGGCTTCGGACAGGAGTAGTATCAGGGGGATACTGTTTAGGAAAGTAATGGGCTACAATTTATTTAACAGTTTTGTTAACAAGTTAGAAAAGAGCGAATTTGAATTGTGGTTGGACTCACCAGTGCTGCTGAAATTGGAAAGAAAGCAAACTAACCTAAGACAGTGAATTATTTATTAGCACAAATCCAAACAGCGGAGTATCCGTGAAGAATCGGATCAGTGGGCTGAATGCAATAAGATGCAGTTCAGTGCTAATACATGTAAATTCATACACCCAGGGAAAAGAAATAAACAATGCAAATACAGATTGGTTCCAGGCAGTTATGTGGAAAACAGTAAATCTGGAAGGACCTGCAGCTGGTAGCAAGAAGCAGACTAAATCTGAATCGTTGTGCACCCAAGAGCTGTTATCCTGGACAGGACTAGGGAATGATACTGCAGAGCAGAGGTCTCTGTCATTTGTGCACACCACCTGCTTCCTGGAGAGGTGTAAAGAAATGCAAAGGGCAGTAATTAAATTGGACTCTTATCCTAGCCACACATAGAATTTTAGGGCTTTGAATTATTTTTACATTTTCTAGATTTTTATATCCTTTCAGCATCCCTTTTAAAAACTTTTTAGGGTGTCCTGTGACAGTGAGGTCCACACTTTAATTATATGTTTGCAAGTCAAATATTTTCCACGACTGGTTTAGAATTTGTTGCATTTCATTAAATATCTCTCTATTTTTTGTACTGTGAGAGGGAGAAAATAATCAGCATCTCAGTGATACCTTTTTCAGATCTCTTCCTCTGTAAGTTCTCTTAGAGCTTTCTTAGAATAAAATAATTTTTCATGTCCCCTGTTGTAGAAACAGCCAGGAATAGCTTTGCATTATCATGTATGGAAATGAGGGAAGGATAGAATCCTGCAGGTCAGACTTGCAGTTTTAGTTACATCACCGAGATATGATCATAGATGCAATGATGATTATTTTCTGTTATAATTCATTTTGGAGTAGCTGGGAATAACACTATGGATCATTTTACATCAGGTAATGGATTTTATGCCCCTTATGTTCAGAAAACATGCAGAGGGTGATGGCATAAAATGGACAGGTTGCAAATTCGGGCTTGTGAGTGGAAGCTGGAATGATTCAATAAACATTAAGCTACGAAGATCTCCTTTAGAGGCTGAGAGAGGATGGGCATTCTGTATCTTTAAGATAGTATAAATGAAGGAAATGTAGAATTTGCAGTGTCGAAATTAGGAGATTAGAGAGGAGCTTCATCTTGAAGTTAAGGATGGAGAGTTTTCAAGCTGCATAGTACAATGGAGCTGTCATCAGGAGCAGCTAAACATGTTTTATGTTCACGTGTGACCATAAAGAACTCATTCTCATTTACATTCAGGTCTCTTTGTACCACTTTGGCTGCATGAATCCTCCATAAAGGGAATGCAGATATAATGGTACATTTCACGAGCTTTACCTTGTGTTTTTATACCTTAGTAGTATAAATGTGACTTGTCATAGATCAGAATCCTTAAGTTAAACACTATGTGCATCTTTGCAGTGGCTTTGGGCAATGTAGTGCATTGGTACAGATCATGGAGACAGTGTGAGAGAAGACACCAGTAGAAGGAAATAATGGAAAACAAGGTTGGACAGTGGCTAAAATGGGATATGTGTAAGCACTGGGGTGAGTCTGCGTGGATGTGCTTGCAACAAGTATGAGAAAGATCAAGATCATGCTCTGCAGTCATTTATTTGATTAAAATGCTTGAAGTTTTTCTTTTTAGGCAAAGATTGTTTTCTTGAATGCCATTCTGATGAGATTATTATTTGCTTCTTTGCAGTAGAATTTTAACTCATCTGTTTCTTTTGTTCCTAGGCATCTGGGTCACAGGCCCCAATTCCACCCCCTGAAGCATGGGTTTGATGAATGGTTTGGATCCCCAAACTGCCATTTTGGACCTTTTGATAACAGAGCGCTTCCCAATATCCCTGTGTATAGGGACTGGGAAATGATTGGCAGGTAATTCAGCTGCTTGCCTGCTAATGTTATGTTATTTGCTTTCCCTGCTGACATTACAGTGCTGGAACATAAATGCTGGCGTAGCAATCCCATTGCAGTGAAAAAAGGGTTGGCAAAACCAGCAGCTGCTTCAGAATCAGAGTTACAGGCTGGGTTAGATGAGCAGTTGATCTACAGGTACTTTACCCTGTGCAGAGGATTTTTATAGCATGGCAAGCATTGGGAATATCCTGTCCAGATCTTTAATAGCCACTGACTTAACTTCCAGGAACTAATCTTGTCTCTTTTCTGAGCCCATTCATATTTCTGGACTCTACAACATCCTTGTGCCAGGATCTCATCTCTTGCTTTGCCCTCATCCTTTTGAACAGGAATTTTTCCTCTAGTCTGGGGATGACCAATATCCAGCCTTACAAGGTCTGAGTGGTGGTTTCCATTGGAGCCAAGAGAGAATTAAGGGAAAACCTTGTGGGAAAATGCACAAGGAAGACAGAAACAGGAAGGTATAGATTAACTGTCAAGAGGTATTTGAATTTCAGGTCTAGGAGAGGAAGCAAGGATAGTCCTTCCTAGGGAAGGAAGAGGTTTTGAAGGCAATGCAGAGAGCAAAGGGTACTCAAGCACTGTTGCCTGGGCAGTACCTGCTGCTTCTTAGTTATGATTGTGGCACTTTTGCCTTTTCCAGTTGAACCTGAAGCAATACAGACCGAATTCTATGGTATCAATAGCCCTCAGAGGCTGGGCATGGTAGTTGACTACTAACCTTTATTCTAAGCTCCTAAACCACTTTTTGTAGGAGTCTGTCTTCCTCATCTCCACCTTACCATCTAAATTTAAAGTTGGAGCTCATTACATATGAAGCTGGATGTTTAATTCTGAGGGTTAATAAAAGATTTGAGTCCTAAGGCCAACCTGCAGGATGCGTGTGGACCATCTAGGGATGTGACTGCTCTACAGTGCCTCCCTCTCAGAGATGTTTACTTATCCTGTCATGCCCTAAAGGCTTCCTGTGGTGATTTCACTCCACTACTTCTCTTGGAAGCTGGTTCCATTCTGTACTGAAAGAGCTCTTTATTCCTTCTCTTCCTGTTTGTAATAACCTTTTGTCTGTTTGCATAACACCATTCTACACTCCCAGTCTGTGGTCTGTGCTGTTCTTGTCCATTCACTTTTGAGTCTGCTATCATCTTATTTGACTTGCTTTTATTTATTCTCCTGAGGAGTGCACCCCACTCTTCTTTGCTTAATTGGTGTCTAAAGATACTTCTAACACAAGATTTTCAAAGCAGCCCCAAATTCTGGTTCCAGGATTGCTCTGTCTCACTGGAAGCTGTTGTGGGCTTCTGAAAATTTTACTCACATTTCAAACAGCTCCCTGTCGAAGGAGTAGCAGCTTGAGATTTTGAAGCGTGCTACCTCTGTTCTAATAGCTTAACAGTGAAAGCTCAGTGGCTCAAGTTTGTCCAAAACTTGTGGTCATCAGTAATTTGGATCTTGCTGTTTCACTGCTTTCTCCCACAAGAAAAAATACGGTGACATTCTTTTTAGTATCTGAAGAGAGTTTGCTGAGAAGCAAGTTGGTTTGTCACCTACTTACACAGTAAGTAAAGGAGGGAAAAAAAAAAAGCCTTTTAATGTTGTATATTCCTTGGGATTTATGTTTTTTTCTCTCTAATTGATTTTATCTTAAGATATTATGAAGATTTCAAAATTGATCTGAAGACGGGTGAAGCCAACTTGACTCAGATCTACCTGCAGGTACTGTCTATTTTAATCCTGGTTTCTAAGCCACAGTGAATTTATGCTTCTTTTTTTTTTTTGGAGATTTAGATGGCAGAGGATGATTCCTTTAAATTCATTTTTATTGTTGTTTACAGGAAGCTCTCGATTTTATTAGCAAGCAGCAAGCCAGCCAGCAGCCATTCTTTTTATACTGGGCAATTGATGCTACCCACGCTCCTGTTTATGCCTCCAAACATTTCCTGGGCACTAGTCAGAGAGGACTGTAAGTCTCGTTTTTGTGGGTGTTGATTTTGTTGGGGTTTTTTTAATTAATACCTCATGCTGCAGAAACAGAAAACCTCAGCAATTTTTATTAGACCCAAGTGTATAGATAATTTCTCAGAAGTGCATGCGTGTGTGCTGACACACATTAGTTAGTGAGGACTGCTTGGTTTGTTCTTTAATAATTTTGTTGTAATCTGAAATGAAGCCCATGTGACTAAAACAGGGGAGAAGGGGGAGTCTAAGCTCCTTTGCCAGTCGTATGAGTAATGAAGTGCTGTATGTGGCACAGATAATTTTTTGGAAGGCTTTTGTATGATTAGTACCTGTTTTAAAAGCCTATAAATCAGACCAGCAAGCAGAAAAACATGCACAAAAAAAAAAAAAAAAAAGCAATTTACAGGAGGCAAAGAGCTCTGGAGATATCATGAACCTTGCTTCTGAGAGTGCACTTTGAAACCAGCACCCGTAAGCAACTGGATGTGTTAAAAACCTATTTTATAAGCTTCAAGTCTATGGCAAAGTGACTTTGAGAACTTTATAGCTAAATTTATAGCAGTTGCTGGTCTGTGTCCAGGAGCAGCTCACAACAGACCAAATTCTGACTCTTCATACCCAAGAGAGGTCAAGTACTCTCTGCAGGTAGGAGCAGTGACAGTGGAAAACTTAATTACAATGCCTGCTGCATAAGAGAAATATTTCTCTGGCATGGGTATAAATTGCATTCACTAAAATCATTGTGGGTGGTGGCAGTGCATTATGCTGTGAGGCACTTGTCCTCTTTTGCTGCCTTTAATATTTCACATCTACTTTTGCCTCAGATATGGGGATGCTGTGCGAGAAATCGATGATAGCATTGGAAAAATCCTCCAACATCTTCAGAAGCTGGGTATCAGTGAGAACACTTTTGTGTTTTTCACCTCTGACAATGGAGCTGCTCTCATTTCTGCTCCTAAACAAGGTGAGTCTCAGATGCATAAACCTGGGTTGGGGTTGTGAAATCAAGGCTTTAATCTCCGTGTCCGGGGCAAGTAAAGAGACCTGTCCCTGGGGTTTTCCACTGTGCAGTTAAGAGGAGTCTCAAAAGTCAGAGCATTTACGTTTAGAGTTAGCTTATATTCATTACTTCTGGTCACTGTTGGAGGAGGTATCCTTGGCTAAATGGACTTTTGGCCTAACCCAGTGTGGCTGTTCACTTGTGTGCATTTCCACTTGGTGCTTTGCTGTCAGGGGGTGCATATTTTTTAATTTATTTTGGACCAGGCACAATAACTTAGCAGGGTTTTCACTCTCTATCTGCCAAATGCATATTTGAGCTTTCTGAGTAATTACAGAGAGTTCAAGAGTCCCTCCTTCTTTAGTTCTCATGAAAAACAGCAAGAAGAAAAAGTATTTGTGTTACTTGACAAGTTTCCTTTTGTTTAAATGATTGTTTCTCTCAAACAGAATCATTGCAAATTGATTTTATAACCCACTCTCTTCTATTTGGAGGCAGGCTGTCTCGTGGTTACTGGACCACAGAGCAGATCCTGAATTCTGATTTCAGCTGAGCCACTGTGTTTGACTTTGTGTGACCTGAAATCAGTCACAGGTTCTCTCTGTTTGGTCCTCAGCAAGTTTAGCTACAAGGCTGGGTTAAAAACCCAGACATTCCTGCAAAGCACTTGCTATCTCTGAGAGTGAACATTCAGGGAATGCATGATAATTTTTTTCATTCTCCTATCTGCATCTTTTACTGCTCTGGTACTTTAAAAGGATTATGAAAAAAAACCAACCCTATTTCTGCCTGAAAGTGTCAGATTTCCTTTAGTTACAAACACCAGTTAACATCCTTAGAGGGAAGGAAAATGCCAGCAAAGTATTATCTGTTTTTTAGGGGGTTTCTGTTGGGTTTTTTTTCTTTGTTTGGTTGATAGCATGCTGTGTTTAACTGTCACTTTCTCCCTGACCTGAAAAGACACTCCTAAAATTATATCAGAAAGAGATATTTTAAAAAAAAAAAAAAAAACCCAAACACCACAACAAGCAAACAAAACAAAACCAACAAACCCAAACCAACTCTGGACACGTTATTTGAAGAAGCATTCATGCAGAAATGAAAATTCATTTAAAACTAGCCTAAAAATTTCCTAGTTGACAGTTGGGCACGTCCCTTTGAAATATGATATTGACATATCATGGTTTTTATGGCTTCTTTTCTCTCTCTCTCTCTCTAGGAGGAAGCAATGGTCGTTTTCTGTGTGGCAAACAAACCACCTTTGAAGGTGGCATGAGAGAGCCAGCTATCGCTTGGTGGCCTGGACATATACCTGCAGGAGGGGTGAGTGTCCATGTTGAACAATTCTGATTGGTCTTAAGTGGGCTGAAGTGAATGGAGTGGTTCTTATTCAACATGCCCAACGTGTCAGTCCAGACACTTGTCTAAATAAGGAGCTGAATGCTGTCCCTAGAGAAGGATGCCATTCACAGAATCCCAGAATGGCCTC